CGTTTAAGGTTTTGGAAAAGTCAAAAAGAATTTAATTGTATGCCCTCTTCCCTCCCCCACCCTGCCCCAAAAAAGAAAAAGTTGGACCTGCGGAGAAATGGAGGAATAAGATGTGCGGTTAAAAACAATTTTCTGAATTGGCTAAAAAGATTGTGGTACTTAACTGACATTAGCATTTAAATGGCTTCCCAGATAGGAATGAGAATCCTAACGCTAAATGCCAAAATTAAGGTTAGGGGGAGCTGGTCCGAAGTTGCCTTTTTTGTCCATGAGCGTTTTTCCCAGGCTGTGAATTAACAGACGCAATGAAGGTGAAAAGAATTGAAGGGAAAAATGCTAATTAGTTCTTACCAAAAAGCCAAACAATATTTTGTTAAATTACAAAGACTCTAAAGTTGAGAAAATGAAGAATGTTAAGCACTTATCTGCTTTTTTACTGGTTGTGTTTAGGGAACTTGGATTCCCCCAAGACCTTGCAGACGACTATTTCGTAAATAATTGGCCACTTGGCCGCGTTATTCAATAAATATAATGACAGTTTCCCCTTCCATGTTCATGCGCCTATTTTCTGATTTCACGCTGCGGTAGGATGGTAGGAGCCAGCGTCGGTTAAATACCACTCATCGCACAGTCGATTCCTGTATCAGCACCAGGTTAGGCTGGGTTCAGAACACAGCGATGATCAAAGTGCAAAGGTGAGGCAATATGAGAACAAGGACCCGGGGTCTATATATCTATCACTCTGTTGGCCACTGAAACAAAGACTTCTTTGCCAGACTCTGTGCCTGCTAATTTCCTTCAATTCATTCACAAAATCTTCACTGCAACTCCTGTAAGTAACGACTATTATCCCCATTTTACAGATGAAGAAGTGTGGTTATGAGAATTGTTCTAGTGATAAAGCTGAGACTTAAACAGAGTCCTAATACTCATGCTAGGTTGTCCATTGTTATAAAGAGCTGGGTTTGTTGGTTGGTTGGTTATTTGGAGAAACTAACACATGACATTTGGATATGTTCAAAAGAATCTCAGGCCTGGCATAATCTTCATACATTCAGCAAACAACGAGTTAGGCATCATGTCAGGTGTGGGCAAATACAAGGACCCCCTACAGCTCTCTACCCTGAAAGTACCTTCCCGACCCCTCTACAGGGTAGCACACAGACAAAGAGGAATCACCTCCAAGAGCTTCTTCTGGACTTTGCTCAATTAACTGTCCCATTGTCTTCAGGGACACATGCGTAGCTGTCTGAACTGAAACATTTCCACTGCTGATTCAGAAATGTGTTCATCCTAATTATGGGCACAGAATGCTCTGAGGAACACAGGTGGGAGGGGCTGTCTGGGGCCCTCTGGATGCCTCAACAGAGAATATGGCTTATGAGCTGAAGGTTGAAGGATGAAAAATATGTCACAAAGCAAAGTAAAAGGGCCCAGGGCAGAATGTACTAGGCCTGCCATGTCCAGCAGGGGACCCTGGGGCTGAAGTAAGGCCAGAGGTAGGAGCAACAGGGGGAATGGGGCAGGTGGGGAGGTGGGGTGTAGGCTGGGAAAAGACCCAGAAGGGGATTTTATGCTATGTAAGGAGTTTAGAATTCAAAAGATGCAAAAGGGAACCAATAATGGGGTTTTGTGTGTGTGTGTGTGTGTGTGTGTGTGTGTGTGTGTGTGTGTGTGTGTGTTTTGGCTAAAGAAGGAACAAAGATATCTGTAACTGGTTGTGATCAATTAGTTGTAAACACTGTTGCACTTGACCAGCCCCAGCAGTGGTTTTTATGCAGAGGAGTCATAGGACCAGATTGGTATTTTAGTAATGCTTGTGCCAGGGTAGAGAATGGGTTGCACAGTAGGCACAGGGTTTGACGGATCAGATCAAAGGCTGTTGCAACAATCAAGGTTGGATCCAGTTCAGACTAATGGTGTGATCCTGCCATTAAAAAAAAGGACCTCACTGGAGAAATCTCTGAGGTTCGGGTCATGAGCTTTGGAGTCAGGTGGGCTGAATGCTGGTTCTCAACCTCTTCTTAGCCATGTCCTTAATGTCATCAAAACCTCACCTTGCTTATTGCAGATGAGATGAAATCTGCTGTCTGGGTCATTTTGCAAATGAAATTGGGGTTCATGCTCATCTGCACAAGGTTCTCACTCCATCAGTGGTGATAGCATTGATGGTGATGATGATGATAATGATGATGATAATGATGATGACAATGACAGACAACACTTTAGTGACTGACTGGCTTTAGGCTGAGGGTAAGTGATAGAAGAGTACAGGATACCTCCAAGGTTTCTAATCGGGTGAATGAAGGCACACATTGTCAACCAGGTTGGGGGCACAGAAAGAGGACCTGGTTTTGGAAAAAAAAAAAAAAAAGCAGCGCATTTGTTTTGAACATGTTGTGATAAGGATACCTACCAGAATTTGTTTTATGAACAGTTAGTTGGAAATACAGATTGAAGGAGGAGTCAGGGCCAGGCATGGTGGCTCACACCTGTAATCCCAGGACTTTGGGAGGCTAAGGCGGGCGAATCACGAAGTCAGGAGTTCGAGACCAGCCTGGCCAACACATGGTAAAACCCTGTCTCTACTAAAAATACAAAAAATTAGTGGGCATAGTGGCAGGTGCCTGTAATCTCAGCTACTCGGGAGGCTGAGGCAGCAGAATTGCTTGAACCCAGCAGGCAGAGGTTGCAGTGAGCCGTGATCGCACCACTGTACTCCAGCCCGGGCGACAGAGTGAGACTCTGTCTCAAAAAAATACAAAAAAAAAAAAAAAGGAAAAGAAAGGAAAGAAAGAGGAGTCAGGGCTAGAAGTACAAATTTATGAGCCATTTGGGATCATGTTTGAAGCTGTGGGAATGAAGTTTCAGGGAACACTAATACATATGGCATACTGAGAAGAAACCAGAGGAGCAACTATTTTGCTCAAAATGAAAGCTCTGATTCAGGATTGTCAGAAACAGAGAGCCATTAAACAAATGTACATTGAGAGCAAACTACATGCCAGGCACTGCCCTGGAGCTGGAACCTGGAACATACAAGTCAACCCATGGAAAACTCACATTGTCACAGAGGACACAACCCCATAATAAACCTGGTACCCCAAAAGAGGGAAACCACCACGAAGGAAGTAGGCAGGGTGCAGGCAGAGTGTGGAGATGGTAAGTGCCTGAGGGAGGCCCAGGCTAGCTACAGGGGCCAGGTAAGGCCTCCCTAGGAGAGGACATTTGAGCTGAGACCTGAGACTAGGAGAGCATTAACTGAGGACTTATTAAGTACAAGGCTCTGTTCTAAGCATTTTAAGTACATTATCCTATTTAATCCTTACAACAACCCAATGATGTAGGTGCTGTTATTATCCTCATACTAAAAATAAGGAAACTTAACCACAGAAATGTTAAGTAACTTCCCCCACACAGCTAGCAAGCTGGCAGAGAAGACCCTGACTCAGACAGTCTAGCTTCAGACAGCCCATGCTCTTCCCCACTGCACAAACTGCTTCTCACTGTCTGTGATAAATGCTCCTATTAATAGAAAATGAGTTCAAGAAGGAAAATGCGATCAACAGTGATCACAGTGGTTCACAGCACAAAGGCTTCATCTAGAAATAATTGCAAGTGCTTGGTCTTTGCTATGTTACTAGTTAAAGCATGGACGCTTCATAGGGAATTGGTCAGTAGCCCCAGATTCAAGTGTCAGGTTCACTATTCTCTCATTCCGTAACCTAGGGACAAACAAGCAATGACCTCTACGAACCTTCATTCTTTTCACCAGTAAGATAGGTCTAACACACAACTCCAAAATTACCGTGAAGATAAAGAGATAAAATCCACATACATGACAATCTCTAGCAGACAATGTTATCTTCAGGAGCTGGCTGATGCTGGGGAAAGGTTCCTAGTACAGATAGCACACCATGACGTCTTCATAAAAAGCTGAAGCTCAGAGCAGGTGTGGCACTGAAAACAGGACACTTTAGGTGACAGCCTACAGACTGCTATTCTGAGAAAAGATCTTCAAGGGGTGGAAAAAATCACTTTTAGAACTCCAACTGGTCTTATCAATTTTTAAGGAAAATTAAATTTGTCATATTTGCCACTGTGAAAATCAGCTCAAATATACGACAGGAAAGCTTATTTCACTGAAACTCAGTTCGTTCCAAAGTGACTCAATCAAAAAAGATAGGCTTCTTCTGTGTTCTACCTTTTCTCCCCCTACTTTCCTCATACCAGACAATAAAGTATTGTCCCTTGTGAGGTAGAAACAAAATAGCAACATGAAAACAAATTCTAATAGCTCATGGGAAGAACAGACATCAAGATCCCAAAGTTCTATGTTAAATGCCTTAAGAGGAACCACCACTGTGCAATGGTGGTCCAGAAAGAGCGCGCTCAGCCAGCTGGATCAGGAATGATTATGAAGAAAGGATTTGATCACGGCTTTACAGGGCTTTAAAGGGCAAACTATGGTTTCCTGCAGTGGCTTTGGAAGACAGCATCCACAAGGCCCTGAGAGGCATGGCTTTGCCTGCCTTTGTCTCCTGCAGCATCCACCACTCTCCTAGCCCCGACTGCCAGCCACAAGGGCAGCTCTGTTCCTCTCAGGATCCTTCGAGGCCACCCCTACATGCAGGCATCTGCACTTGCTCAGGATCAGAAATACTTCTGGTCTGTGAATGAGCTTCACACTGCTGGTCTCAAGGGGAATATAACCTTCTCTGTAAAGCCTTCACTGAGCACCTGCCCCTCTAAAGTTCCCACCTGGACATGCCCCATATCCACCCCCATCACTCCTCCACACAAACTCATTAACATTCTATTTTACTTTCTTTATAGTACTTATAAAGCACTATGGAAAATTATCGTGTTCAATTTTTTTACTGGATTATTTTCTGCCCATCTCCATCCTCTACTAAAAATTAAGTCACATAAGTGCCTAGATATTGTCTTTCTTTTTCACCCTTATATTCCCAGCACCTGGCAGGAAGTAAAGAGCTCAATAAATATTTATTGAATCAATACAGGAATGCAGAAGAGCATGATCAAGTTGCAGAGGCAGAAAAATAAAAGCTGAGTTTGAGAAAGTGGTAAGTTGTATGTTCTGGTCCAGCTGGGCACAGATGGATGAGGTGGGACAGGTTGCTTGCAGAGAACTTGATGCAGTTTGGACTGAGTAGATAGCGGGAGAGCTTCTGAGAGTGTTTGATCAGGCAAGGCCTTGAGCAGTGCTGTCGTTAGAGAGGATTAGGCCAGCAACTATGAATAGGATGAACTGAAATTAAGCTAGAAAGCCCAGAGAAAACCATTTGTTACCCCTAAAATTGGCAAAGATTAAGAAGTCTGACAAATGTTGGAAAGTATCTGCGGAAACAGTTTTCCAACAGTTGAAAATCAATTTGGTAATATCTCTTAAAAGTTAAATTGTGCATATTCAAAATGTAGCAATCCTGCATCTAGGAATCAAGACTAAGAAACTATTGCCTATATATTAGCGAAAAAATTATAAACAATCATATATTCACTAATAAATTGATAAAATGTGGTATTATTTATGCTATGAAATACCAGATAGCAAATAGACGGGGGTGGTGGCTCATACCTGTAATCCCAGCACTTTAAGAGGCCGAGGCGGGCAGATCACCTGTGGTCAGGAGTTTGAGACCAGCCTGGCCAATACAGTGAAACCCCGTCTCTACTAAAAATACAAAAATTAGCCGGGCTTGGTGGTGGGCACCTGTAGTCCCAGCTACTTGGGAGGCTGAGGCAGGAGAATTGCTTGAACCCAGGAGGCAGAAGTTGCAGTGAGCTGAGATTGTACCACTGCACTCCAGCCTGAGTGACAGAGCAAGACACTGTCTCAAAAAAAAAAAAAAAAAATGCTAGACAGCAATTAAAAATAATGAATATGTATAGATGTGTGTGTGTGTGTGTCTGTACAAAAACATGGCTAGACCTTAAAAACAATACTCAGAGAAAGTAAACAAATCATATAACAGTGGGCTGGGCATGGTGGTTCACACTTGTAATCCTAGCACTTTGGGAAGCAGAGGAGGGAGGATCTCTTGAGGCCAGGAGTTTGAGACCAGGCAACATTGTGAGATCCCATCTCTACAAAAAAAAAAAAAAAATTAGCCAGGCATAGTGGCACCCATCAGTAGTCCTAGCTACTTGAGAGGCTGGAGCAGGAGGATCACTTGAGCCCAGGAGGTCACGGCTGCAGTGAGCTATGATCATGCACTCCAGCCTGGGTGACAGGGTGAGATCTTATCTCTCTAAAAAAGAAACTATTTATGTATATTTAAATCCATAAAACAATACTACATATTAACTATGGGTACATATAAGTATATATAAAATATTAAAAAGTATACAAACTGAACATGGGCTCTGGGACATGAGGACAGAAGGAGGAAATGGAATTAATATTCAAAGGAACTTGATTTTATCATCAATGTTTTAGTTCATTAAAAAGTTGAATCAGATATGACCATAATAATAGCAGTTGTTAATTTCGAATGATGGGAATATAGTAGCGTTTACTGGGAATCAGAAGAGAGATGCTAGACACAGATGGAAAAACCAACAGGATTTCAGGACTGGGTGGGTTAGTGGAGGGTATAAAGTTGCCAGAAAGAATGAGGAGTAAAAATCATATTCTCTAGAGGCTAGCCACACCATTAAAAGAACTAAAAAGCAATGAGCTCTACTTTAGAAAGGTTTACCTTATTAATGAGACAGCCAAATCACGGTCAGCAAAAAGTCAGAATTCAAAAACCCAAGCGGGCACTGACAAGCTATCCTGCAAAAGTAAGGAACAAAATAGGTGCCTCAATCAATATCCTCAAAAAAAAATTTTTTAAGACTTTTTTAAGGTCCATAGAGAGTTCACTTTGTGTATTTGGCTTGTTTACAATATATATAGAAACCCAACCACAGTGTCCTATACTCAACAATTGAAAGTGAGGTTACTAAATTTTAATACACATTTCTAGAAAGCCTGGGGGTCTGATTCTGAAAATCAGCCATTCTACTAAGATAACTTGTTAAGAGTTTCCTTTCAGTAAGCAAAATTGACTGACAGAGCAAATAATGATCCAAATTTACACTGTTCAAATTAAAATTTCAAGCATTAACCTCTATTCTGAAATCAAGCTGCCTGTCTCTACATAAAGATTATCAACTTCCAATTATCAGAAGAATGCAGCTTATCTTTATTATGTACCCTCCACAATATTTCATGATATTTACATGTTTGCATAGTACTTTCCTATCCTTTTGTAACATGTTTTGCAACTCCTGGAAAGTCAACAGTCTTAGCTCTTCTCTAAAGGGGGAAACACAAGAGACTGGGTGACTAGTTCAGGGTGACTCACAGGCAGAGTCAATATTGGAACTCGGAATACTGAGCCTGGCATTCCAAGTTCCCAAAACCTTTAGGCTCTTGCTAATCCCAGCAGAATTTTCTTCTTTACAGGGCTGTGCTTCTTTGAGGTCTCTGAGACCAGAATGTTAGTGTCCAAAGCTTTCTCCTTCAAAAGTAGTCAACAGTCAGAAATAAATGTTGGCCTGCAAGTTCAATGTTTTTCTTTTTTTTGAGACAGGGTCTCACTCAGTTGCCCAGGTTGGAGTGCAGTGGCACGATCATGGCTTACTACTGCCTTGACCTCCTGGGCTCAAGCACTCCTCCTGTTTCAGCCTTTCAAATAGTTGGGACCACAGCCACACCCCACCACACTCAGCTAATTTTTTAATTTTTTGTAGAAATGATGGTCTCACTTTGTTGCCCAAGTTGGTCTCAAAGTCCTGGGTTCAAGGGATCCTCCCACCTTGGCCTCCCAAAGCGCTGAAATTACAGGTATGAGCCACCACTTCCAGTCCATCTTCACTTTTTAAAAGACATAGCTAAACTGCATTGATACAACCTAACGATCTCCCTAATTAATGTAGCTTTGCTGGTAATTGTTTTTTTTAGAGTCCTCTGTTTAAGATTGGGTTAAATTCAAATCAAATGGTACTGTTTAAACTATTTGCTGTTTTTTGTGTTTGTTCGAGTTACTGCTATCTTGGAGATGCTGAGCTTCTAACTGCCACAGGGCTAGTTTGCTGGTACTGACCTTATAAAGCCAACAGTTAGTGACTGTGTATATAAGGATTTAAGAGATTATTTTACCAGAATAAGGTTGCTTTGTAGCCATCCGGTGTAAATGGTGTTTCTTTCCATTAACAAATTGAAGCGCTCTTAAGCACCTGAAATTAAATAACAGCTTAAAAAATAAATTAATATACAAAAAATTTAGGTTTACTGACAATATCAGATTATTTCCCATTAAAAAAAAAAAAAAATCACCCAACTCTTTTTTCTGATGCCTTTCACGTGGGATTTCAAAAAGCTTTTCCAAATATTTTCACTATCCATAGTTTTCATTCTAATTTTGTAAATTAAAAAAAAAAAAAAGAGCCAAATAACTTACCCAAAGTTATGCAGTCAGTTGGTAGTAAAGGCCAAATAAGAGCTCAAATTTAATCTAGTAATTAAGAATCTGACACAGTGTCCTCTTCACTAAGTTGTACTACTGCCTCATTTTATTTCCCTTAAAAAATAATTGTTTGCATATCAATTAAACTGGTCATATTGAAATATAAAAGCAAGCCAGTATTATCAGGAGGTCCTTTCTTAAAGCAACAAAATACAATCACCTTTGTGCTAAAAAAAAAAAAAAGCAATAAAAATAATTGTGTACCTTATAAATTTATCTACAAGTTTTAGCCTTCATTATATTCATTAATTAAAATGTCATAAATCTTCTTTTCCTATTGCTAAGATATTCTTCAACTTGCATACAAAGCACCAAAATGCACATCAGCCACAACACACACAAATTCATCACTCAATCTCGGTCCATTACTCTTGCCAAGGTCAGTATCGAATATTCTTGAAATTTTCACTTGTAGAATGAATAGATGTTTTGTAAGGATTATCTATTCAGGCAGAAAAAAAGGGGGGAGGGGAAGAACACAAGAAACAATTAGCTATTCAACTGGTACTGAGCAAATTCCAAGTACGGAATCCTTTGTTTGTTTTTATCTTGTTTTTGTTTTTCTTACCTACCTTGGGACTCCAGTCCACGAGAAGAAATACATCTTGTGAGATTTTTGTACAGCTTTTCTACAAACCTCCGTAGAGAAGGAAACGTTGTTGTCAGTTTTGGCTTCCTTTTGCAGTCAGGGACTGGGACCCAGAGTTATCTATTTGCATTTCAACACCCTTTTGTTTTCTGTCCCACAAGAGGCTCAACCAGTTCAAAAGCAGGTAAGGCAGTTAGATCACTGTAATAACCGTAGAAAACTCAAAGGAGAAAACTTTTGCAAACAATGTGGTTATTTTAGCAAAAAACTGCTACTTATTTAATCATTCAAGCCTACAGACCTCAAGCTAGACCATCTTGTTAAAAATTTACCTTAGATTGTTCTTAATTCTCTCTGTGCCCTAGAGAGAGAAGAACGATGGCGAAAAGCAGGGTTAGGGAACAGAGAGGAAGAGAGTTCTGTGTCTGGAATCTCTTCTGAATAAACAAATATCCCTAAAATATCAATATATTCATAGGAATTTACAGGTCACATTATTGCATTTGATTCTGAGAGCAACAGCCTCTGTCATTTCAGCTGAAGGAGCATTCCTATATAGCTCTAACAAAATTAAGAGAAAAGAATGTTTTCTAGGTGGAGAGAGTTGGAGAGGATTGGTAAAGGTGCAGCCATCCCAGTGCCTGAAGGACACTTAGATACAAATGCTGCTGGTGTATAATTCCTGTCACACCCACTCAGATGACTACATGGTCAAGATTCCAGAAAGTGATCCCCAGGACAGCTTTCTAAGCATTTAATATTCCAAGAGGCATCAGCAGATAAAAATGTGCAGAGTTGCAAATTTTTAATAGAAAAATCCCCCAGGGTCTATGCTGAAGGTCAGTGTTTGGGAAAAGGCTATATTATAATGGGGCTACGGAGTCACAGATTAGAGATAGAAGGGACCATAAGGTTCATTTCCTCAAGGTCCATGGTTACACGGCTGGTTTGTGAGAGGCTATGAGCTGTAGGGTAGCTCTCTGGGCTCCCAATCTCACACTCTTGAGCTTTTGGTTACCAAACCTGCTTAGATGAGATCCACAGTGAGGTTATATTGTATAAAATTCTAAGACTTGGCAAGTCAGCCTATAATGAAGATATATATGCATAGACTTCAAAGGACTGACTTTGTCATCACCTACAATAGCTCTGCCGGCAAGATTACTGATTCAGGCATTCAGCTTTTGGATAAGCATCTTTCCTTCCAACTTGCATGACAACAACTCCAACTGCTCTTAGAAATATTGGGGCCTCCAGTCTACTGATCCCTCTGCTTTCTCCCAATTCATTAGCCTTCAGCTGTTTTCACTTTCCTTCTTATTCAATTTCTAGTCCATGGTCTGTTATTACAATATCCTTTTTACCAGTCCCTTAAACTCCCTTCTTCTCTGTTTTTTCTACAAACGTATCTAGGAAAACAACAGCCCTCGTTGAACCCTGCCATCTCCTTTCTCTTTGCTTGCACACAACTGTCACACTCTGCTGGAGGTGATCAAAAGCATAGATAGGTTCATGGTCACCAACTTCTTATGGGCCCTCAATACTAACAACTGCATTTTTGTTTTATTTTTAAGAAATGGAGTCTTGCTCTGTCGCCTAGGCTGGAGTGCAGTGGCATAAACACAACTCACTGCAGCCTCCAACTCCTGGGCTCAAGAATTCCTCCTGCCTCAGGATCCAAGTAGCTGGGACTATAGGCACAAGCAACCATGCCCTGCTGTAACAACTGTGTTATGTTTCTTTTTACAACTCATTTTCCAACAATTATTTGAAACTTTCTCCATCACCTTCAAACTTCCAATACAGCCATCTCTCTCTCTTTACTCCTTCATCTTCTGCTTAGATGAGGACTCTCTAAATCTTTTTACACCCAAACCCCTGCTTTCACTCCTGCTTCAAGGTGAATGAGACTTCTCCTCCACAAGGAGAAATCCCTTCTCTTTTGCCTTACATTCTCTTCTCTCATCATCACCCACAACCTTTTTGTCACTGTTTTCTCATATCGCATCACTTTAATCAGAAAAGCCTATTGGTTCTGCCTTCAAAATATATCCAAAATCCAATAATTTCTCATCATGATCACTCCTACCCCCTCATCAAAGACATGGTCATCTGTCATCTAGACTATTAATGGTCTCTCAGCTTTCACCATTGTCCCGTTACAGTCTATTCTCAACAGTGATCTTTTGAAATCATAAGTCAGAGCATGTTCCTCCTCTGCTTAAAACCCTCCAATGGCTTTCTGTTTACTCAGAGTAAAAGCCGAACTCCCTACAAAGGCCTTTAATACCCTACCAGCACTGTCCAACACAACTTTTTGTGGCAATGGAAATGATCTACATCTCACTGTCCAATACTGTAGCCACTCGCTACATGTGGCTACTGTGAATTTGAAATGTGACTAGTGCAACTGAGAAAATGAATTTTTAATTTTTAAAATTTTAATGAATTTACATTTAAGTAGCCACTTATGGCTAGAGGCCTCCATGTGGGAATGCTCAGCTCTGCAAGATCTATTCCCCGTTCACCCTGTCCACCTCTTGCCTGAGCCTAGAAAAGCCCACATCACACTATAAAAACTCCTTTGAAGTCAGATGATGTCACTCCTCTGCTCAAAAATCTCTATGGTTTCCCATTTTACTCAAAAGCCAAAGAAAGTCCTTATCTTGATTTACAAGGCCTCATATGATCTGGCCACCTCACCCTTCTCTCTGACCTCAGTCTCTAGCTTAATCTCTTCCTTGTTGACTCCACTCCAGACACAACATTGCCCTCCTTAGTGGAACACACTAAGTATGCTATTGCCTCAGGGCCTTTGCTCATGCTGTTTCCTCTGCCTGGAACATTCTTTTTCCCAATATTCATATGACAAACTCAGAGCTCCTTCACTTCCTTAGTAAGTACTCTGCTACAAGTGTCTTCTGATGAGAGGCTGATCTGACCTTACTTGATCTGAAAGTCCTATCCAAAACAATTCCCTCCCACTTGATCATTCTCTATCTCCATACTCTGTTTTTGTTGTTGTTGTTTTTAAGTAGAGACGTAGTCTCACCATGTTGCCCAGGCTGGACTTGAACCCCTAGGCTCAAGTGATCTTCTCGCTTTGGCCTCCCAAAGTGCTAGGATTATAGGGATGAGCCAACATGCCTGCTCTCTGCTATTTCTTTATAGCACAGATCTCCATCTATGTTTCTTTACTTATTACTTGTCTCCGCCTGCAGGGACAGCATCTCTGTTTTATTCACAGCAGTATCCCTAATACCTGAAACAGTACCTGGCACAGAGTAGGGTCACAAACACACACACACACACACACACACACACACGACTGAATTTGATGAGTGAATATGCATGGCCCTATGGTGCCAAAGACTACTTGCAAGTCTCAACACTGGTCTACAACCCAGCACCCTCCTGCTGCTATTCCCTGGGGAGAGGTTGGGAATGGGTTCCTCTCTAAATATAGTATCCTCACTTGCAAGAGGGCAGCTGAGTGCTTAAACTGTATCAGCTCTAATCTTCACCATAACCCATTTTACCAGTATGGAAACAGACGGGTTAAGTAAACTACTTGAACTCAGCTAGAGTGACACTGAGCCTGTTTCTTATGATGGGGTTTCCACGGTCAGTAGAAAATTCTTCTATGGGCAGCTACAAAGATATGCATTAAAGTGACCACGTAGCTTCATTATAAATCTCTTTACTGACTCTATGCCTTCATAGGGGAAAATAAGAATAACTACTTTTGTAACAGACTAAATGAAAATTAATTTCAGAGAGTTAACAGAAAATGGCCAGGTGCAGTGCCTCATGCCAGTAATCCCAGCACTTTGGGAAGCTGAGGCAGGCGGATCACTCAGGTCAGGAGTTTGAGTCCAGCCAGGCCAATATGGTGAAACCCTGTCTCTACTAAAAACACAAAAATTGGCCAGGCGTGGTGGCATACGCCTGTACTCTCAGCTACTCAGGAGGCTGAGGCAGGAGAATCGCTTGAACCGGGAGTCGGAGGTTGCATGAGCCAAGATCGCGCCACTGCACTCCAGCCTGGGCAACAGAATGAGACTGCCCCAAAAAAATAAAAAGAAAAAATAGAAAAAGAAAATGAATGCTATTCCCACTTTCATTTTTACTCCTCCCTTAACTGGCCTAAGTTTTTCTTACCAAATTGCCATGAGATTTTCAAAATGCTAT